TAGATTAATGACAACAGGAAACATCTTGACAGCTTCATATTAACACCTTTAGTTTTTAAAAACATAATGAACACAATAACGCTGGATATTCACCAAATGGGAGCCTCAACAAAAAATATCACAAAGGGTTCCGTGAAGAGGAAAACTGTTTAAATACTGAGAACCTGCTGATCTTAACAGAGATTCAATGCACACGCTCTGTGATGTATTTGCTCATTAATTCATATGTAACACGGCTGCACAGTAAAAAAAAAAAACAACACAAATGCTCCAGTAAGCCTACACTTTAATTAATAAACCAGTTTAATTTGCTATTTAAGCGTCGTTGCCCGAAGGCTCCTCGTCTCATAACCAGCGTCTGCACTGGGAGGTGTTTTCCCGTTTGACTGATGAATATCTCTACAAACAACATCACGAGTCCAGGCGACTGGAAGCGCTCCCAGCTGACACCGTGATAAATAAACGGGAATTAATTTACGCTGTGCAGCTTTTCTTTGTAACTGCACAAAACAACAACGTCCGATAGATATTTAACTATTTAGATTATCACAGAAACGTTTCCTCTCTGGTCTGCAGGAAGATGCTTCACCATGCTGGATGTGTCTCCAACAACTGGCTCCTCTGTTCACTGGTTCTGGGCCATGCTACAGTTATTTACTGGATTTTCCTCCCGTCTGCACTGTGGAAACTCTCACGTGGATGTTAGTCATGACTGCACAATTTTTTTAAAATCGATTTTGACCAAACAGGTTTTTTGGTTTGTTTTTTTTTTTGCTCATTTCTAAAGAAGAAATGCAGAATAAATTGAATTTGATGAAATATCTTCACTTTAGAGTCAGATTTAGGTCATTTTTCTGACTGAAATGAACATTTTTTACAGTTTGTAGCTGATAAATTTACATTATTTGGGCATTTTTTTTACAAGATTTCACACCTGCTGGCGTGTTCAGAGGCTAAACGCTTGGGTGACGCTTCAAACCAAAATCTGTTTGTTGAGATTGTTATACAGTCGCTCCTCCTAATCGCTTTGAATATATATGATCTGAATTTATCAGGACAGACGGGAAGAACATGATTCACAGTTTGCATGTGATTTTCTTTTTATTTATTTCTGCAGAATGTGGAGCAAATGGTTGATTTTTAAATGAAATATCCTGATTTTGAGTCTAAATTTGGTTAATTTTTTTACACGAGTAGTTCAAGGATCATCTAAAAGTTGGAAATCTGATGTTTCTTACTAGTTTTTATAGTTTCTGGTGCCATTTTGCTGATTCTGTTTAAAGATAACATTCAAACCCACCAGCAGGTTTTGGATTTTTTGTTTTGTTTTAGAGATTAAAATGAAAAACATGTTATTGACGTTTAAGAAACTTCCTGAAAAGGTGCTGCAGCGTCACATCACCAGGATTTTTGGTTGCCGAAGTCAGTTTCTGTTATTCCACACATTTGAAACTGATCCACAACCTGTTCAGGAGCTCCGAGTGTCACGGAGGTGTTGTTTCGACTCGGCGGTTTATTTTTATTTCTGCTGCAGGTTTGCTGTCACTTTGTCCAGCCGTCACGTTGCACATCCAGCTTTAACAAACCCCGTCTGCTCTATCTGTCCGTCTGTCCGTCACCGGCACATTATTGTCATCATTATTATGATTATTTGTGACACACACACACACACACACACACACACACAGACACACACTGTATCAGTATCTCCGGTTTGCAGACAGCTTGCAGACATGAGCTCAGTAAGTGAATTAAGCTGGTCTGGACTGTACTAAAGCTGACACTGGCTGACTTGGTGGAGCACATACAAACACAGTTTCCCAGCAGATAAAGAATTGCAGAGCAGACAGATAAAAATCCACACGCATGCACGGAGACGCCAAACACTGCAACTTATTTAAAAACGTCTCCCCGTGTCTCTGCTGCTTCTGAAAATGCTCCCGGTGCCGTCGCTAAATCAGTGTGTTTGTCCTGCAGCGGCTGAAGGAGCTGAAGCAGAGGGAGTTTTACCGAGCGCTGGCCTGCAGGAGGCAGAGGAGGAGGCGGGAGGAGAGACGGGAGGAGCGAGTGCTGAGGAGGCTCCATCAGCATGAAGAGAGGAGGACCGGACAGTGGTGAGAACATTTACTCCTACATACGTGTGCAGTAGAAAGCAATAAAGAACCACAAAAATATGCAAAGAAATGTGAGATAAGAGTGACAAGAAAAGCCAGAAAGCCCACAAAAAGGCTTTAAACACATGCAAGGAGATGAAAAATGACCACAGAGATGTGAAAACAACCACAAAACAAGAGAAACAAGAGAAAATGACCACAAAAAGGGTTGAAAATAACTGCAAAGACATGCAAAATGACCGAAAGGAGACTCAAAAAACAAGAAAACAAGCAATGATTCCACAAAACAACCACAGAAACACTTCAGAGAACCGCAAAAATATGTAAAAGTGCTTTAAAATGACCACAAAAAGACGCAAAAAGATGTGAAAAACAAAAAGACAGAATGACCACAACAGGGCTCACAATACCTGCAACAAAAGGACCTAAAACAGCTGCAAGGAGGATTAAAAACATGAAAAAAGGACTCAAATTTTATACAAAATGCTGCATCAGAAGCACAAAAAGAGGCAAAAACGTGTGAAACAACCAGAAGACAAGAACAATTTCTAGGAAACAAGAGAAACAAGAAAAAATGGCCACAAAAAGAGAAGAAAAACTGCAAAACTACCACAAACAGAGACGTTCACTGAGTCTTTCCTGGATGCAAATGATGCGTTCAGGTGCTGCTGGGAAGCTCTGATATCTGGTAAATCTACAGCCCACTAAAGCACAAGATATGTGGCTCAACTTATTAAAAAAAACTTAAACATTAAACCGTTGCAGCTCTTAAAACGTTCAAAAAGTTGAACATAAAACTCTAAACTTGAAGCCGTTTCTATATTAATCCTTTACAAATTCATGTTTTCTTTATTTATTAAAAAAAAAAAAAATCAGCATAATTACACACTTTTTCAGAGCCAAAAACTGCAAGAACAGGAAAAAATGTTGGTTTTTCACCTTTCCAAAGGTTCATGAACTGATCGTGTGTCATGTTCAGTTCTGTTCTAATAAATAAGCAAATATAAGCTGAATATCATAATTTTTCACAAAAAATCGCATTATTTGATATGGCTCATTTAAAAAATTGCCAAAATTAAAGCAAGTAAATTCCGTAAAAAATATAAAATTCTCCACTTCCCTCCACAATTAAAAACCTATTAGTGACTCTGTTATGACCAACAGTCACATGAGAAAAAATCTGAGAATTTTCAATTGAATATGAAAACCAAATAAAGATATAAATAGTACAATACATATAGTATGTAGAGTAATTAATGCTTTTTCCAATGTTAGCAACATCTGTGGACACCTGAATAAATGTCGTACATGTTGATTCAAGCCTCTTTAAAATTTTTATTAAGAAAAGAATTAAAGAAATTTATTATGTTTTCTTTTTGTTTGTTTTGTTTTGTTTTAATGATTTCTGTCATTCTATCCTGCACATTTCTGACATCTATCCTGCACATTTCTGACATCTCTCTCCTTCTTCATGGCTGTTCTGGTTCCATAAATGTGCAGCACTTTATATTGCATTAAAAAAAACAACAAGTCAGCAGTGAAGAAAAAATGTGACAGGAGCAAAGAAAAGCTGAAGATCCAGATTGTTAAAATGAGGATCAGTGAGGAGACGCTCATAATAATATTAAACCAAAAGATGTTAATCACGTCCCGCTGCAGCTCCAAACAGCATTTCAACATCTCTCCGTCTATTATTTTGACATTATGACCTGCAGGATGTATTGTTTTGATGTATTTTCCCTCATCAGTGTCATCTCCAGCAGCAACAGGCAGAAACACTCTGACAAACCTTCGGTCCAAAGCGGCTCCTCAGCAAACAGGAGACGGATGAAGGAAGCAGCCGAACACAAACGAGCCTTTAGCTGCTAAACTCAGGGTAGAAGGCTCGTGAAGCTCGGCTGTGAGTCGATGTCTGCAGGTGTGTGAAGACACAAGCAAGCGTTTGCAAATGAGTTAAAGCTGCTGGAGTCTCTGCAGCCGACACGTTGACACGTCGCAGCAGGAGACAATAGAGTTAATGAAGGTCGGCTGCTGTTCAGGCCCAACGAGACGCCGTGACGTGTTCAGAACCAAACACTTCTTTAACTGTTATTTACACCCATGGATGGACGACTGAACACCACCAGAGGGTTTTCTGCACGGAGGTGCACCAACCACAACGTACATTTCTGTTCATCAAATCACCTAAAACATCAGGAAACAGCAGAAGTTTCTCACAAATGAGGCACAACGCAGACTTAAAGTCATCATAAAAAGATGTGAAGCGACCATGAAAACAGTCCAAAACGATGACAACAAGGCCCGAAACAACCACTGCTGAATGAAAAGGAACCGAAGAGACGCAAACAACCACAAAAAATGACCACAAAAAGAGAACAGGGGCTTAAACCACCTGCAAGGAGACGTAAAGACACTGAAAAGGGATTTAAAATTATGAGATGAAGACAACAAAATATCTCCACAAAAAGGATAAAAATTACCACAAAGACAGGATAATTGCAAAAAGGCTGAAAACAACAGCAAGAAAGTTTATAATTACTGAAAAGTGACTCGAAATTATATAAAAACAAAGAAAAACAGCCATAAAAGGGACCAAATGCTCATTAAAACATGCAAAAAACCACAGAAGCAAACAACATTTCCACAAAACAATCCAAAAATATGTAAAGAAATGTGAAACAAGCATAAAAACCAGATCAGAGGAGCACAGAAAATGACCACAACGAAATGTGAAACCAGCGAAACGTCTACAAAATGACCAAAGAAATGGCCAAAAGAACTGGGAGGAGATGTAAAAACACTGAAAATGACTGAAAATGACCTAAAATGACCTCAAAAAGATGTGAAACTTCCATAAAATGACCATAAAAATGGCCAAAACAACTGGGAGATGTTTGAATGACCACAAAATGATGTAAAAAGACATGAAACAAGCAGAAAACAAGCAAAGCTGACTACAGATGACTTTAGTTTCTCTCCTCTCTGCTCTCCTTCTGTTTGTTAATGCTCTCTTTCATTTCCCCTCCTCTAACCCTCCTTCCCCCAGCGCTCCAGGTTCTGGTCCCATGTTCAGGTCCACCACGGTGGCCGTCGACCCGGCCGACCAGTCCAGGCCCGACTTCGTGCAGAACTGGAGCGACGGCGGCTCGCTGGGACCAAGTGAGAGCTCTTATCATCTTAAAAAGAGGAGCAGCTTTAATATTTAATGGGCCCGTGTTTGGTTTTGGTGATGAGCTTTTGCTCTCATGGATTAAACCCAGAAACAGAAACAGAACACGAAGGTTTGCGTTTGTGGAAAGAGACGCTTCCTGCAAACAACAGGAACGAGTCGTGCAATTATACAGCAGATGAAATATCGCTGCAGGAATTCGGCAGCTTCAGTAGAAACAATAGAGACGAAGGAAAAGTGCAGCGATCAGCAGAGCTGCTGCAGTAAATCAGAGCTTCGGCCTGAAGTCGCTGAACTCTGGATCCTGCTGTGGACCAACATCTGGACGCAGGATTAGAAAACAAGGAAACTAATTAGAGTGAGTTAGTCAAACTATGTTCTGCAGGAGGCTCACCTGTTCACTGGTGCAGAGTTTGGCACATGAGGAGCTGCAGGGAGCCAAACACTGTGATTTACACCAGCTACAGGATTTTATTTTCCTCCTTTATTTAGAGGCAGTTTAACCGTCTGAGCTCCAAAACCCACCAGCAAGTCTAAAAGTCTTGTTGTTTTTTAAAATATCACCAAAATTCCACCATTTATCAAAACCAGAAACTGGAAAAACAGAAAAAAACGTTGGATTTTTAACTTTCCGACAGTCCTTGAACTACTCGTCTCTGACATGCGGTTCGGTCAGAAAAATTAAACGAATATTAGAAATATCTTATTTAACAAGCAAATCTCAATATTCAAGATTCATACAGTTTGTGCAGTAAAATGTAAAGTGACAACATGAAAACACAGAAAGGAGCATTATTTAAAATCCATAGAAACATATTTTTAAAAGTCACAAATGAGAAAGATAGAGAAATAAAATACATGTTTGTTAATTATCACTAATTGCATCTAGTTTAAAATGTTTAGAAATAATATTTACAGTCTTAAACTTGAATTTAGGAATTTAATCTAAATATTGTTATTGTTATCATTTAATTGCAATAAATTGGTATTTTAAGAGTCTATTTCTGTACAAAAAAAGTACATAAGAAAATGGGAATTGTATATTGTTCTTAAAGTTATTTAACATTAAAAAGTTTTTGGATTCTGTAAATTCAACGTGCAGCTTCTATAAAACTACAGATTCTTTTCTTGTAATTATTATTTTTCATTGATTTTATTCTACATGCCTTGTTTTTAAAAAAAAAAGGCAAAAATAAACAGTTTGCAGGAACCAGATTCTGTAAAATACTAAAAATTCTGCCCTCTGTGGCACAACTGTGAAGCTATCAGCGGCTCAGCTGTGACTAACCGTCACATAAGAAGAAATCAGGGAGTTTTCAATTGAACTGCAGGCAGTGTTTGCACAGAGCAAATTAAAATGTAAATAATTAAAAATCGATAATATTTCAGTCGATGTTTATTTTTTCTGACGTTGCCAACATCTGTGGACACGTGAACAATGTTGTACATGTTGACTCCATGTTGATTAAGTAAGTAAATAAACTACATTTTCGTCTTCCTAATGGTTCCTACTGTGTCGTGCTGCACAGAAACTCCACAGGGTTAATATTCAAACTAACGTATACGTAAGAAAGCTGCACTTGGCTGCTGGCTTCTTAGCTTAAAGCAAATCCACTGACATTCCCCTAAAACTTGTCATCATTTTAATCTTGCGACTGATCAGTTTATATCAGTAACAGCAGAATAAACGTCTGTCTTCATAACGCAGCTCAGCATCACCACAAACTACAACCTCTGAAACAACCACCGAGTCTCTAAAACTGACATTAAACCTGCAGCATTGTTGTGTGTACGTATATATACGTCTATAGAAGTGCAGATAAAAGCCTGTCTGTGAGCTTACAGCTGTAGGAGCGAGTCTGGGGAAATACTCTCCAGTTAAATTTGTCATTCGGTCTGGATTTGTTCTGAATCAGGAGGTGATATGAGCTCCCCTCGGTCCATCTCAAGTGGATTTTAGAGACCAAGATAGATGCATTTTTAACAATACAGAAAGCATAACATGGAGTTTGGCAGCAGCGCTTCAAAGAAACAATCAATTGTCACCCCGTCTTTACTGAGAACACATCACTGGCACATTCTGCAAAGTTTTCTTCTTCGTCTTCTTCTTTTTTTCATTTTAAAGTTGAAACCGGCGGAAAAAGTTGGTCGGCCGCATTAAAATTCAGCTTGTCCCCGACTGCTAAATGCGCTTTCACATTTATAATAGGAGGAGTAATAATTCATTCCCCTCTAAAAACTCAAATATTTAACAAATAGCGTTTGTGGCGACACATTAAGGATCACTTTTAAAACCATCTTAAAAACCGTCACTCAGGAAATAATTGTCTGAATCTTTCACCAAACCGACACAAAAACCGGGCGTTACATGTCGCAATAAAACCTTTAATCTTATGTTTAAGAGAGACACGCGTTGGGCTGTGTCTTCTCTTAAGTCCGTCCTACACCCGTAAGGCATATTCAGATGTGTTAACAAAGCTACGATGGCGAGGAGCCGCTGAATAAATGCATAAGGAGCTTTACAGCGTGGGGAGTCTTAGGAATAAATGCTATTCTTCTGCATGTATCTCTTCCTACTTTCGTCTTTATAGGCAGATAATCCTGTTATGTTCTGCATGTAGATGTAACCGTTTCTCTTCCTTCTCCTCCATCCAGAGCCTCCGACCCCCCTCATCCAGCCCTTCCTTCCGCTGGAAACCAGTATCCTGAGCAGCACCCAGTGGGAGTACGACCACGTGGACACCGGCGGCTCCACGGCTGCACCTGCTGCCGAGTCCCGCCTCCTCGACAAGACCCACCTGGACTGCGACCACCTGACGGCCACCTCCACCAAAATCAGCCCCTTCAACAAGCTCCCCTGGGCTCACTTGAGCAGAACTCCCAGTAAAGCAGCTCAAGCGAACGGCGTCGGCGAAAACTCCGACGTGCCGTCCGTCCCCTGCAGAGTCCGACCGGTTTCCTTCTCGCTGCCCAAACGGAGCTGCGTCCTCCTGCACCAGTCGGCCGCCGTCTTCATCCAGGAGCGGGCCAAAAACCTCGGCGAGAAACCCGCAGACCAGCAGCTCAAATCTCCAGTTTGTGCGGACGTGGACGTTGTGGGCGTGGATCACTGGGATACTGGAAACCAGTGCAGCAGCGAGGACGGTAAAGCCGAGAAGGGAGCTGCAGGACTCTCTGGGCCCGGAGCCCAGGTTCCTTTATGTAACGGAGATGATAGCTCCGTGGTGAGCGGGAACGAAGCCCAGCTCTCCTTATGTAACGACGACGGGAGTCGAGCCCAAGACGGTGGCGAAACTGGGGCTCATTTTTATTTAAACACCGAAACACCAGATTCGTCGTGTAAAGACAATCAGACGGCGGCAGATGAGTCTGTAAAGTCAACTTCTGAGGTTTTAAGTGACACTTTGGCTCAAACGCAGCCCAAAGTTTCAACTCCGAGTCGCCCCAAAGAACCGTTCTGTCGAGTCCTGAGCCGAGACGGCGGCCGGGTTCTGCTCTGGCCTACCGAGATGGTCAGCTACACCAAGACCTCGCCCTCCGTCTCCTACAGCGTCAATCCTCTACTGTACGACTTCAGAGCGCATAACAAGGCCAAGGAAGGGGCTGAGGAAAAGAAAGGGGGGCTGGAGAGAATAAAGCCATCTGTGATCAAACAACCCGACTGCCAACGGAGGCAGGAGGATACGGAGGGAGGCAGGGAGGTGAAGATAGATGAAAGGGAAGAGGAGGATGAAGGAGGACGGGCAGGAAATCCGATGGAACTTGTAGCCCGTTGTAGCGGCGGCGACGCAGTTCCGGATGAAAGCGCTTCAAAATTCGCTTCCGCCGAATGCCACCAAGCGCCGACGCCGGGCCTTCAAACGCCGGCGATGAAGAGGAGGAGGAGGAAGAGGAGGGGAGGCGTGAGGAGAGGCATGAGGAAGAGGGGGAGGAGGAAAAGACGAGACGATAGAAAAGACTCGGAGAGGGGAAGGAGGATAATAAGCAGCCTTTGTGCGAATCAGATGTTTGAAGGGAGAGTGGAGGAGAGGGCGAAGCGAGAGGGCAAAGACGAGAGGAGGGAAAAAGGGCTATTAAGCAATCTTGGTACACATCGGCTGGTAGGAGGCAGAGAAAAGAGGATGAGGGGAGAAGAGAGGAGGATAAGGGGAGATCAGACGGAGCGGGAGAGGGCAGGTAGAAATGACGAGAAGAGGGGAGAGCTATTAAGTAATCTTCCCGTGAATCGGTGTAATCGGTGTAACCAGCTGTGTCTGCAGGTGAAAAGGGAGGCCAGCCAGCATCAATCCCAGCAATCAGCCTCCGGGTGGGGCCAGGGGCTCAGAAAGCTCCTCTGCAGGGGTGCAGCATGTAACTCAGTGATTAGCCCCGTCCCCGGGTCTGTTATAGAGATGCCACGCTGTCCTGCAATTACACCCGACCCTGCTCAGAATGACGGGGAGACGGAGGAAGAGGAGCGACGGAATCCGAGGAAGACGGAGATAAAAGCCACTCGGGATGCCGAAGACGACGCGTGCGACGCGGCGATTAGCGAGCCGGAAATTCGACTCGTTCCCAAACCTGGCGGAGAAGCAGCGTGCGATCCGGCGATTAGCCTCGTCCCCGCGTGCGGTCAAAGACAAACAATGCCTGCAGGACGCACCGACCCAGCGTCGGACCAGACCGCACGCTGCTCGGCACAAAACACAGAAACCGACGCCGGAGAATCCTGCAAGAGGAAGAGGAGCTCGGAGGAGGCGACGCCGAGGAAGAAACGGAAAAGAGGAAGGAGGCAGGCGAGGAGAGTCGACCTCGGCGAGGCCTGTCGGTGTCGGGAGCTCAACGGGTCGCTTTCGGACGACGCCGACTCGGTTTGCAGGACGAACTCTGAGGACGGCGAGGAAACGCTGGAGGGCCGCGACGGACATGAAAAAGAGGAAACGGGTCAGAAGGACGATGGTGACAATCACAACTCAGCCGACGACAAACCTACCTGCAGCAGCACAAACTCACCTGCAGATGAACTTTACGAACACCCTCCTACCTGTAGCACTAAAGACACGACGGACTCACACTGTCGAGGCACAAACAAGCACACAAACGGTGACGAAACCAAACCGCAGCAACAGATTCAGCACAGAAACAGCCTCTGTGACGCAGCGCCGGACTGCAGGACGCTGAGTGTTTGCTGCAGCGCCGATCGCTGTGGAAACGCCAGAAACGAGGAGACGGAGAGGAGCCGGGCGGAGGTGCTGAGGAGGACGGAGGAGCGAGATCGAAGGAAGGAGGCGGACGTGGAGCACCTCTACCCGGAGAAGAGGCCTCGATTCCCCCGCCGCCTCCCTCCACCCCGCCTCCCCCTCCACGCTCCCCTCCTCCTCCCGCCATCGCTCTCCTCCTCCTCCTCGTCCTCCTCCTTCTCCTTCCACCACACCATCATCCAGCATCACCTGTCGCTCCTCCCGCCTCCGTCTCACCTGGCCGTCCCCTCGTATCCTCACCTCCTCCCCTCTTTCTCCCCGCATCTCTCTCCTCTCGCTCTGAATCCTCCTCCTCCACCTCCTCCTCCTCCTCCATCCTTCTACGCCTCCTCCCCCATCCCCCTGCTGGACGTCTCCGGTCCTTACCCGGCGTTTCACCCGGTGCAGAGCCACCATCCGTCCCTTTACCCTCCTCCACACCCGGCAGTCCTTCCTTTACAGGTGTTGTTCTGAAAAAAAAAAAAAAAAAGAAAAAGAAAAAGCCTCATAAAAGCCACATTTTCCTATTTCTCTGCAGAAAAAAGGAAGAAAAAGGTGAAAGCAGCTTTTATGTGTCATCGCCTGCGAGGCTGAAACCGCGAAGGATAACAATTTCAGGAACACTTACGTAGGGAAACAAAACGGATCTTTTTCTTAAAGCCAAACCCTTCGGCAACCTCACCGCCCCGTCCAAACGCTCCAGCTCTGATTCGCACGAGGAGGAAAAAAAAAAAAGTAAAAATGATGCCTAATTATCTTCATCAGCCGCAATCCTGCTGGAAATGAGCCTCAGGTGTGCAGCCAGCGGGATGGTGGTGAGGAAACACAGCTGGGCTCAAATCAGCCGCCGCTCCTGTTTAGCATTTTAAACCAATCATTTGCTTGCAAGGCATGTTGGAGGGTTTTTTCTTTCTTTTTTGTGTGTGTGTGACTTTAAAGGACAAATTCACCCTCAGATATCTTCAATCTGTGATAATAAATGCAGTTTTTTTGAAAAAACATTTTTCCCTCCTGAGAGCTTCCACTTGAGTTGGTGATTTTCCTGCGTTTCCCTGAATTGAAGACAGGTGTTGACTTGTTGCTCTCAGCTGCTGCAGAGCTGCACAACTTTAAAAAAAATAAAAAGCAGCTATTCATCCGACAAGGCCGACTTCTAAAAAGGCAGCATTTCTGCTACTCTGCTGCACGGTTTCATCTAAACGCCTCATCGTGTAGCAGATACCGAACAATAAAAGGAGGATTAAGTTTCCGTTACAACATGTCTGGTTGAATAAAATCTAATATTAAAGGAAAACTCCGTCGATTTTTGCACATCAAAGTTTGTTTACAGGGGAGTTGCCTTTGAGTCAGTTAGTCGGGAGGCTTCAAGTCTGCATAAAATCCAACAAGACGAGAAGCTGGAGGTTGAATTAGCAGCAAACGCACCCCGAACATCTGCAGTCGCATTGCAGCGCGCAACCAGAGTTTGACAAGAAAGACACGAAATAATAAAAGGTGGAATATTTGAGTTTTTTTTTAAAGAACGTCCGTTGTGAGTCTGACGGTGTTAAATACGTCGGTGCAGCGCGACGAGGCGAGAATAGCAAAAGACAGACGACATGTTCAGGGTGTGCGAGTATAAGTGGGCAGAGATAATGGATGTGTGAACACTAGCCAGTCGGAATAATGGGAAATTTTCTGTTCTGACGTGATGCGAATGCAGCATCAGGGAGCTGCGGTTAGCTGAATGCTAACAAAATCTGCTGCATTTCCTCTTTTTAAATGATGAGGTGTTTGGATTTTACTGTCCAGCAGGTTTTTACTAGAACGTGAACACAAAACAGGAAACTTATGATTAATCATCAACTATTTTGATTGATTGAAAAGTCTGAATTCTCGTGATTGAAGCTTCTTAAGTTTTCATCAGTAGCTTTGGAAAACACCGATCGACATTTTCTCCCATTTCAGTGACCAAACAACTAATTAATCAAGAACATAATCAGCAGATTAATGGAAATAATCTGTACTTGCAGCTGTTTTTCACAGACCTGAGCATCAAGCCACCTGAAAGGCAGTTTAATGTAGTTTTCAGACGTGCTGATCGCGGTTACGTCCCTGGATTAAACGTTAAAATCAATGTTCCTATTAATATCAGATGAATTAAGCACCATTAATGAGGAAATTAGAAATTACATTGCACCCCAAAATGTCGAGATACTTTTTTGTCAGGCACAAATTAGTGAACTCGTCTATTTAAAAGTCCCTTATTGTGTAAAAATGGAGAATTAGCAACGTTTTCCTGGAATTTAATGGAGGCTAAAAGCAAAAACCACAAGAAGGAAATCTGCAAATACGTACAAAGTTTGTGAAAGTTAGTAACACAGAACCTCAGAAAGGTTTTATTTGGTATAAATTGCTCAGATTTCCTGCTAAATTATCACGATGCAGCAAAAGATTGACAAATTATGTAAAGAATAAATAATCAAATGAATAAAATCATCTCACATTTAATCCGAGTTTAGTAAAGAACAAATCTACAAAAACAATCAGCAGCTTTTCTGCAAACCTTATAAAGTCAAGACCTCAGTGCTTCATTAGTGTCTGCTTTAGGATTTTATTGATATTTAAGGCTGATAGAACAATTAATTGGCTTTGAAATTGCAATCGCACTCTCTGTGCACTGCAGGATTTGCGATCGGAGCATTGATTGATCAGCGGGAGGTAATTTAAAATGCATTCATCTGTTATCTGGAATATAACCTGTTCGAAGCGAAACATCCCGTCGTCCTGAAAACCCTCCGTTTAAATCCTGCCTCGTCCTGCAGCCCTCTGCACAGGCCCGGCGCCGGCTCGGCTTTATAATTTGCTATCTCCGGCGTGTGACGGCCGGACGTCAGAGCAAAATGTTAAGTTTAGAAATAAGCCTTTGCTCTTTGATTGTGATGAACTGACTCCAGCGTCTGACCTTTTACACTTGACGTTTTAGACTGTTGATTGTTCCGCCGTCTCACTCGGCTGCAGCTGCTCTAAAAATACCCCAAAGTGGCGGCTAGCTTTACATTTAGCGAGTCACGCGTCGAGGAAACACACAGCGAGCGAGTCGGACTTCGCCGGGAGACTCGGAGCAGCGACCGGATGCAGGAAGGCTCTGACTGACCGGCCGCTCTCTGATCACCTCCCCGTTCGTTGGCCGCTTGCTTGTTGCAGCCTGACAGGTGATTTTCCACTCGGTGGTCTGTGACACAATAACTCGAGTGCAGTCCGTCCGTTGAAATGCAGGAAGTTCACTTCTTCTCTGGGAGCGGCCTCTCGGGGCGGCTTTGTCCTTTAAAGGGTTACTCTCAGTTTTAATTCTGCAGGAGGAAATCCATCACAATTAAGAAAACTGCGTCTTTGTGAAGCCGGAGAGAGCGGCGCTCAGACTTTGGAGGTGTGAATGGCAGCAGAAACGATGAGCGACGAGCACAGTCACTCCCACACGTTGTTCTTCTCTGACGTTTCCTCTGAAGCCGAACATCTGGCTGCGACTGCTCCGGGCCGTCCCTGGCAGCGCCGATCCATCTCAGCGACTATAGATTATTCTGGTGCAGACAGCGGCGACAAACAGAAACAAATAACAATGTGCATTAAAATTCAATTACAAGAAGCTTTTTTTCTGTTTTGTTTTTTAGGTTTTTTTTGTGGTGGGCGGATCACTGCTCTTATTCTGAGTGAAATCTTTAGGCTGTAAAATCCATCGATCCTCGACACACACTGATTATTCTGCAGCGTCGCCCACTCTGCCGTCTTTATGGAGGTCAGCGGGAAGAAACGGCTTCTTCCTCAGCTGATGTTCTCCAGCATGTTGGACGGGTCGCCATGGTGACACTATGGAGCCAACGGTGACGTTCGGTATACAAGAGAAGTGAGTGGACCCCTGGGCAACACGTCAAAGGACTCGAAATCCATCACTTCTCAGCAGTCGCTTCACTTCTAAAGGGAGCAGTAAAGTGTTTGCTGTGATGTCAAACTAAAAACCAACACTTCAGATTTATTCCATGTAACATTCAGGCCCAACGGTAGAAACTCAGAAGTCATTCCTGAGATTCTAATGTTTTATTTCTTCAATAATTCACACGTCCACCTTTATTACTGATGACAGAGTTGTGTTGTTCTACGTTTCCTGTTAAAATAATCTCAAAGATGTTGCATTAGATTCTTCCAGTCCAGGACATAGTTTTAACTTTGTTCTTCTGTTACAAACTCTTTTGATGGTTATCAGCATCTATAAACGTCATCAACACCTTCTGCCCTCATGCAGCCCCATATCATGATGCTGCCACCTCCGTGCTTCACTGTCAGGACGATGCATCCACTGTGGTGGTCCTGGTCAGGTTCACACCAAACATCTGGACTCCATCTGACCAGAGAATGTTCTCCAACATCCATCAGGCTTCTGTTCATGTTCTTTGACAAACTTTGATGTGGAAATTTAGCTGTGAGCAGCAGCCAGGTTTAGTTCTGGTCCTCCATCCATAGAGGTTGATGTTCTGAAGTGTCCTTCACACTGTCTGAGCTTCACACTAACTCTGGTCTCCATTGATAAGCCCTGTGCCAAGTCTGAAGCAGCTGCCTTTGTCTGGTGTTCACAGCTCCATAGTGAAAGTAGTCGACTGTCCGTGGAGTCATTGTAGGAGGACGACTACTGCAGCCCTGATCAGAGCTACTATGGCTCCTTCTGGACCTCCTGGTTCCTGCTCACACTGGGCTTCACTGGGTTTTAGCTGCTCACTGATCTTCTGGATCCTTTTCCATCTTTGTCAAGTCTCTCAGTCAGATGTTTCTCTTCCTCTGTTCAGGTCTTTTCCATGTGCAGACATAGATAGATACAGTCCATAGGTCCAGAACTGAGAAGGTTCTGCTGTTCTCAGCTCGTTGTAGAACCATGTTCATGCAGGTAGACTGATGGAAACCACAGCTGGACTCAGTTTGTTGCTTTGAGTTTCTACTTTGGGGCCTGAATCTTTAATCAGATCTCTAATGTGTCTGTTTTTGGTTGTTCACGAGAGGAAACACTCGACTGTTGAACTCAGAAATAACAAAACGACTGTAAACTGATGCG